TGGGATATGGTGATACTCGCCCTCGATTGTTGTTGTGTTTCCCCAATGTACTTTGCCTTGAATTATGCGACTCCCTAAGTTTGGAAGGGTGCTAGCAATATTTACATGGCGATGGATTGGCGCTTGGAGAGACCACATCTTGGATAATGGATTAGAAATCGATTTGTGCTCCAAGGTCCAGTTTTCTACATAAAGGGAGTTCCTTAGAGGAGGCCATGAGGCTGCATATCGGCCAGCTTGTGAGGTGTGAACCAAAAACTTGGTTTGTTCTATGCCATCTTCAGTCTCTATGATGAGATATCTAAGTTTGGAGGAAGGTGGGGTATAGTCCCTGAAATTTGCCATCTCTTCGTGCTAAAAAAAAGAAAGAAAAGAGGGGTCATCAAAGTCCAAGAATATTAGAATGGGTGCAAAGGTCTAAATGGATGAAATGCTCTCCGGTAGCCGGGCCACATTGAGAGTAATCTCTCCGGTAGTCAGGCTATTTTGAGAGTAATCTCTCCGGTAGTCGGGCCACATTGAGAGTAATCTCTCCGGTAGTCGGGCCATTTTGAGAGTAATCTCTCCGGTAGTCGGGCCACATTGAGAGTAATCTCTCCGATAGTCGAGCCATTTTGAGAGTAACGTCTCCGGTAGTCGGGCCACATTGAGAGTAATCTCTCCAGTAGTCGAGCCATTTTGAGAGTAATCTCTCCGGTAGTCGGGCCACATTGAGAGTAATCTCTCCGGTAGTCAGGCCATTTTGAGAGTAATCTCTCCGGTAATCGGGCCACATTAAGAGTAATCTCTCTAGTAGTCGGGCCATTTTGAGAGTAATCTCTCCACTAGTCAGACCACATTGAGAGTAATCTCTCCGGTAGTCGGTCCATGAAAGTAATCCCTCCGATATTTCGGCAGGGATGAGTACCCATCCCCTCACACCCTAAGACTGCCTCCTTCATGTGTGGATCATCTTGTTAAACAAAAACACATACTTCTAGTTTGAACTACAAAAAAAAGACAACAAAACAAGAAAAACACAAGAAATTACCTTCACGTTAATGCTTCCAAGTCTACAAAACTAGACTCAAGTGACTTGCAAATACTGCGAATTGATGCTAAACAAATACGACGCTGGGGTTTATATAGATCTCAAAAGGAAGCTGCGAGAGGACAAATACCGATGCGGGATATTGCAATTATTTTTCATGTCGGATTCGGCTACTGCATTGTTACTTCGTAATAGGATTGGTCTTTGCAGGAATCCAAAAGCAATTGAAAATGCTATTTGGAATTGAGATCAATAGCGGCTAGGACTTGTATTCAAATCGTGGGATAACTGATATAATTTGTCTTCTAAAAAGACTCTGTTATTAGGGCGGTTAGCATTGTCCTACTCAAAGTTGAATTGAAGTTGGATAATATGGCAAGTCATTATTATGGAAAGAAAGAGTTGTTGTTTGTTTCCTTATTTGAAACAACAAAAAGTGCAGGTTCTCACAATATTGCTAAACCCACGTGCCACTAGCAAAGGTAAGTACTTTGACTTTGGAATCTATCTATCACCATTCTTCTTTGAAGTTTAACGTTAAAAGCTATAAGACAAACAACAACTTAGCAAAATACATAATCTTTCTGAAGGAAGTAAAAGATTATTGAATGAAAGTCTGCAAGCCTTATAATTGAGATGCGATCTGGAGCCAAGAGCTCAAGCTATTCCACGTGTTACTTCAAGTCTTGTCATTAAAACTCAACAAAGTTATGCTCTAACAAGCCTTGAAGTAGGGGGCATTTGTAGGCATATAAATTTTATTGAAATTAAATTCATAAAATAATTTGGACTATATTTTAAATTCAAGATATATTAGTCCAAATAAAAATATGGGCTATTATAATTGAATTAATTATATAAATCCAATATAAATGGATTAAATAAATAAGTCTTAATCCATTGGGCTAGCCCATTTAATTGGGTTAAAGTGATGAGTCCACTTCATTAAGCCCAAGATGTCATCTTCCTAGATGTCCAGTTTGGTACCACATGTCAAATGACGTGGTGCGCCAAGTCAAACGGAAGAGCCAATAGGATCATGCCACATGTCAAAATGACAAGGCACACTAAAAGGCCAATGAAATCATGCCACGTGTGCAAGTGACATGTTCTGGCCAATCAAATGCGGCCCTGTCACACTTCAATTTGATTGGTCAGAAAAGGTTTTGTTCTTATCATAACTCTTCTCTCCCACAACTATAAATAGGGGTCTTCATAACTCAGAAAAGACACCAGAAGTTATAACAAGAAGCAAGAAAGAGCTCGTGGATCAAACGCTGCAAATTCCTCCACAAGTTTCAAGCTTCAAGCTCCAAGTTCAAGAAATCAAGTGCAAGTTCAAGAACGAACAACAAATCAAGGTCAAGTTCAAGCAATCAAGCTCAAGCTCAAGAACAAGATCATCGTTCGAGGCAACAAATACATATTCAAGATCAAGCTCAGAGGCCCTTGAATTTATTTAGTATTGGAAAGAAGAATCAAAGGATTCATAGAGATTGTAACACTCAAATATTCGAAATAAATACTACAATTATTGCGATATTTTTCGGTCTTGATTTTATTTTCTCGACCCAATTTATTGTCTACAATAACATCTCAATTTAAATTGAGGTTGGCTGCATGAATTCTTAGCAATCATGTTGTTCCAAAATTTCAATTAAATTCATCTTAAAACCATATAAGCCCATATTAATTTATATTATTTATTTAATAATATGGACCAAACAATGTAACACTGGTGAAAATTATTTTGATCCTCCCCTATGCCTTAAAAATCAAACTCCTCCTCCAACATTAAACAATAGGCATTCTACTCCTCCCATCATATGCATTGTCTATTTTACCATTGATATTTTCTGTTTCTCCTCTATGCATATAACTTTTTTTTATTATATTATATAAGATATATTTTATATTTAGAAATCAAACTCCTCCTCCAACACTAAACAATAGACATTTCCCATCATATGCATTGTCTATTTTACCATTGATATTTTCTCTTTCTCCTCTATGCATGTCACGACCCGGATTTCCTACAGTCAGGATCGTGATGATGCCTACTCGTGAAAGTTAGGCAAGCCAACTGATACATTCTATCGCATTAATTATTAACCCAAACATTAATAAATTGTAAATAATGTTAAGTAGATATAAAATGCGGAAGTTCCATAACAACTTAAGTTCTAAAACAAGGCTACCCAGCGATTTGGTGTCATAATTTCACGAACATTTAGAAATTTCTACAAACATTAGTTTAAAAGAAATACAACTGTTGTCAAAATGAAAAGAGATAGTATATCTAAAATATAATAAGGAAGGGGACTCCGGAGTCTGCGAAAGCCGACAGATCTACCTCGGATCTCCTGTGGACTGAAGGCAGCAATCCAAGATCTACTCACGAGGTCCATCACCGAAATCTGCACAGAAAGTACAGAGTGCAGTATCAGTACAACCGACCCCATATACTAGTAAATGTCGAGCCTAACCTCGGCAAAGTAGTGACGAGGCTAGAACACGACAACCATATAAACTTGTCCAGTCAAATCATATACGAGAAACAATAATAACAGAATTGAACAGATAAAAACGAGAAAGGGAAGCATGCTGAGGGGAATATCAAATTGTGACAGTAATAAACTAGAGAAACAAGGTAAATATCAACTTTGAAACAACAAAAATGATAACACAGTAACAAGTCGGAAAATTACATAAGTTGTCACCCGACCTATGGCCCAAATTCTGCTTATACACTTTCTGTGGACCATAATAACCTTACACACACAACCTTTCTAAAGTGTGCCTAGTACACACCTCCTTTGACCAGGTCTAAGCGTGTGTAATACAAATTGGACCAAGCGCATGGACAATATTTCAAGATAATTTTTGTTTTTAATAAACGATCAAAAACACATTCCAACGACCCTTTTTAAAAGATTAAAAGGGCCTTAACCCATTTCTATCTATACTAGGACCTGATTTTCATCTTCTTCTTCCTCTTTGAAAGCTCTAAATTGAAGAAAATTTTATCTTCTTGAAGCCAACATTTATTCATCTTCTTGAAGCTCGAAGCCAATATTACAATCTTCTTCTATTTCTTCCTTCTCTTTTTTGACATAAGGGTTAAATTTCTAGGGCTCAATTTTAAGGTTTGGGAAAATGCATAATCTGAGAAAATTTTGCTATTGTGGTGAAGAAGCTGTGGTGATACAGTCATGGAGTGTTGATAATCCGGGTCGTCGATTTTACGGATGTCCATTTTATGAGGTAAATATCAATTGTACTTTTCTAATTGATTTTATATTCCGTATTTTTTCTCTTCAATTTTTCAGAGGGACAGTTGATCGGCATGTAATTTCTTTATGTGGTTTGACCCCCAACTCCAGAGCACTTGAAAATGGTGATTTTGGGGCTGCTGAAGAAGAAGAGGGCATTTGATGCATTGTTGAAGGAAAATAGAAACCAAAGAAATTGGAGGAGATTGTGTGTGCTGACTTTAATTGCAATTGTATTGAAGTTAATTGTGTTAGGTAGTTCCAAAGTTGTTATATAATGTAAGAAAATGAATGAGGTTTTTTGGTAGATTTTGTATCCCTTTGTTAGAAATGAATGAAATCTTTTGGCAATTGTTAATGTTGTTTTGTTTGAGTTTGTTGCTGTGTGAGTTGAATGATTTTTTTGGCAATTGTTAATGTTGTTTCGTTTGACTTTGTTGCTATGTGAACTGATAGTGTAGTTAAAACACACCTCAAATTGTGACTAATAAAACACTGAAACACAGTCAAATAGTGGCTGATATACAACTCAAATGCTGAAATTTTCCAGAAATAACAGCATACAAAAATGACAGCACAAATGTTTAACAACATACCAAAATAACAGCATTCATACAACACTAAAGACATATCTGCCCAGAAATTATCAAACAACACTAAAAATATATTTCATCATAGAGTAAAGGTGTTCATTACAGTCACCTAATAGCAGCAGCCTGCCTTAATAAAAATATACGCTGCCCAGTTTTACAACATACTAAAATAACAGCAGGCTGCCTTAACAAAATAACAACAATAATAGCAAACCTAAATAGCAGTTCCAAATTAACCTAACAACAGTTCCAAAATAAATTGCAGTTCCAAAGGGAATGTTGAATATGCCTTCAGAAAGGTGGATTTGTGGTACTAGTGAGATATGTAGTTAATTGAGTCAAGGTTCTTGAAATGCATAGCAGCAATGGCGTGAGCACAAGGGATACCCTTCAGCATTCATGACCTGCATGTACAAGTTTGATCTTGCATATTCACATAATGCTTCAGTACCACTCTTAATGATGTATCCTCAACCTCATAGCTATATTCACCATTCCACTTGATTGTACACCTCATAGATTGGGTCATGTTATCCTGATACACCTTCATAGCAATTGGGGATATATCACATATCCATGTATCTGCAAACTCCCTCAACTTTCCTATTCTCTCCATCATCTTCACTCTAATTTCCTCCAATATTGTGATAATTGTCTTGTGCCGAGCAGCAAGTATCCAAGCATTAAATGTCTTGCACATATTGTTATCAATTATATCATATTTCCTGTCACAGTTGAAGTATGCTCTGCACCAGGTTTCCTTGTTATACCTCAAGAGGCTCTCACATATCCCATTCCCAAACATATTCAAATTGTCCAGGTGAAAATTCAGTTCTGCCACACATGATGCTCTAGCACACCTCCAGAAGTTGTTTCTCCTCTCTAATCCTTTCCAATCTTTGGACCAGTTTGCTAATATATGTCTGGCACACCACCCATGTTCACTTTCAGGCAACACTTCTGATACAGCTTTAAGCAATCCCTTAAACATAAAAAGAATTGAATTAGTTGCCAACAGAAACAGAAATTAGAAAAAATAAATAATGACAGAAAATAGAAACATAAGAATATATTCACCTTTTGCATATCAGACATGATAGTAAGATCATTTCCATCTTGAAGCTCTAAGTCATGAGTCACACACTTCAGAAACCATGTCCAAGTGAAAATGTTCTCAACCTCTACAATGGCCCAAGCTATAGGAAACATCTGATTATTTTCATCCTTTGATACTGCTACAAGAAGTTGACCCTTACAAATGCCTTTCAGAAAACAACCATCAAGGCTAATTATCCTTCTACAACCTTCAGGCCATCCTTTTTTCATAGCATAGAATCAAACATATAATGAATTGAAGACAAGCTTGCATTCACCTTGATCTTCTACCTTCACAACATAAGTTGTACCTGGATTTGTCTGTAACAGAATATCTCTATAATCATAGAGTCTCTTGAACTCAGCATGCACATTGTAAGCACGTGATTTTTGACCTTCCCCGAGAATTTTCACATTTTTAGCGTGAATATGTGA